TTTGCATGGAGGAGGAGGAGGACTGTGAGGGGTCCTTTGTGCTGTCTGAGCCTGGTTGTTTTCTTACAGGCATTGCGTGTCCCAATCTAGGTAACATCATCAGTGCTAGAAGGGAGTGGGACTTTCTGCCTATATACAGAAGTTCTGATCTGGGTGGTTTTCTTGCAGACGTTTCACGACCCAACTATGAAATCTCATCAGCGAGAGAAGGGAGGGGGGTTTGCATGGAGGAGGAGGAGGACTGTGAGGGGTCCTTTGTGCTGTCTGAGCCTGGTTGTTTTCTTACAGGCATTGCGTGTCCCAATCTAGGTAACATCATCAGTGCTAGAAGGGAGTGGGACTTTCTGCCTATATACAGAAGTTCTGATCTGGGTGGTTTTCTTGCAGACGTTTCACGACCCAACTATGAAATCTCATCAGCGAGAGAAGGGAGGGGGGTTTGCATGGAGGAGGAGGAGGACTGTGAGGGGTCCTTTGTGCTGTCTGAGCCTGGTTGTTTTCTTACAGGCATTGCGTGTCCCAATCTAGGTAACATCATCAGTGCTAGAAGGAAATGGGACTTTCTGCCTATATACAGAAGTTCTGATCTGGGTGGTTTTCTTGCAGACGTTTCACGACCCAACTATGAAATCTCATCAGCGAGAGAAGGGAGGGGGGTTTGCATGGAGGAGGAGGAGGACTGTGAGGGGTCCTTTGTGCTGTCTGAGCCTGGTTGTTTTCTTACAGGCATTGCGTGACCCAAACTAGGTAACATCATCAGTGCTTGATTAAGCACTGATGCTAGACTAGCCCTGATGCGGCTACCTAGTTTGGGGTCACGTCTGTAAGAAAAGCACAAATTTCAGAGAGCACCGAGGACCCCTCAGAAATGGAACGGATGCCCAGGCAGGAAAGAGGCGACAGGTGTTACTTATTGGGTTTTAACGGCTTTTCAGAAATGAAATAAATAATATATTTTGGGACGTCAGGGGAGATTTGATGCCATGTGAAGCAACCTAAGTTGCCCTGACCTTGTTCTGTCTTTTCAGCGGTTGTGCGACTATGTCTGTGACCTCCTCCTGGAAGAATCGAACGTGCAGCCGGTTTCTACCCCTGTTACCGTCTGCGGTGACATTCATGGACAGGTGGAATAATTTCCTGACACTGTTTTCTCCAACACCTGCAAAGAGAGTGCAACAATTAGCTTAGGGGAAACGAGAACAGCTACTAGGTGCCAAAGCAGGGATTGGGCAAAGAAAAAGAGCCGGCTTTGAGCAGAAGAAGGGGGATGGCCTCTCTGAACTGCCGTAGTGGCAGAAGGCATATTCTTTTCCCTTATGCGGCATTGCAAATGTAATTTTAGACAAGTTCCTATCAAGTAATTTTCTAAAGGTTTTTAGCTCAAACACAGGATGCAAGAAGAGTACTTCAGACAAGTGAGGCTTTTAGCTAATCCTAGAGCAATTCTTCTGAGAATTCAATCTTATTCCATCTAATTCTACATTTCCTTTTCCTAATGATCCTTCTGTCCTCTCTAACATACGTCTAATTAGCAGTCGGGCTAGTTTCTCCTTAAGATGTTCATAAATAGTTTTTGGATTTTACGCAAATCTCAACCCATATCTCACTTTTGCGTATCAGAGTTGCCACTTTGGGCACCTAAACAATGCCAGGCAGGGCTGAAAAAGAGGTAATTGTAACATTTCTGTTGGATCACAACAGCTATCAGATCAGTTTTTAAAACGTTTTAA